ATCTGCAGTCCTCACTTAAGTGGCCAAAATCCGCATCTGAGATGCATAATTCGCACTTGCGCCATCGCAAGTGCGGTCCCTCAACCGCTTCTACGGTTTCTGCCTTCCTAGGCTCTTTCCGCTTATGCGAATCCAATCTCGCTTTTGCGAGACCGCACATGTGGTCCCCTAGCCGCATGTGCTATTATGACAACAATGGAACATCTTCAGCTGCCAAAACCAACTTCCAAACTTTCTGCCAATCATCCGAAATCACCCCGAGACCCCCGGGACCTCAACCAAAAGCACAAACACATCATATACCACCATCCAAATATATAGCAATCTTCAAAATACCTCAAACAACATTGAATCAATCAAAACACATCGGATTCAAGTCTAAGTTTTCAAAATCTTCCGAATTACGCTTTTGATCAAAAAGTATAGCAAACCACATTCGAATGACCTGAAATTTTGCACACTCATCCCAAATGACACAACGGGCCTACTGCAACTCCCTCAATTCCATTCTGACCCCTATATCAAAATCTCACCTATCAACCGGAAAATGCTAAAATACCAATTTCGCCAATTCAAGCCTAAATCTACTCCGGACCTCCAAAACAAATTCCGATCACTCTCATAAGTCCCAAATCATCTCCCGAAGCTATCCGAACCATCGGAACTCATATCCGATCCCTCTAACACATAAGTCAATATCCGATTGATTTTTCCAACTTAAGCTTCCTCAAAAGAGACTAAGTATCTCAAACCTAACCAAAACCTTTCCGAACCCGAGCCAACCAACCCAATCACACATTCAACCGATAAACAAAGTAATAAGAAGAAGAAATGGGGAAATAAAGTTGTAACTCATCAGACGACTGGTCGGGTCGTCACAGGTACTTGGACTTACCTATTAACAAATAAATCAAATGTCTTCATAGTTTTGAAATCCTACCTAGCTATGGTAGATAGACAATTTCACACAAAAGTCAAAACAATAAGATCAGATAATGCCTTTGAATTAGGAAGTGGGAATATGCAGTCAGAATTTTTTCAGTCTCAAGGAATCCTCCATCAAACAACTTGTGTCTCCACTCCACAACAAAATGGTATAGTGGAGAGGAAATACAAGCATATGTTAGAAACCTCAAGACCCTTGCTATTTCAATCACACTTACCTATATCATATTGGGGAGATTGTCTTTTAACAGCCACATATTTAATTAATAGATTTCCTTCAAAGGTATTGAGCCTAAAGACACCTTATGAAATACTATTCAAAACCAAGCCTAATTACTCTAACTTAAAGTGCTTTGGTTGTTTATGTTTTGCTTCCACTATTTCAAACCACAGAACCAAATTTGTGCCTAGGGCATTGCCTTGTGTTTTCTTAGGATATCCACATGGAAAGAAAGGTTATAAAGTACTTAATCTTCAAAGTTTCAAGACTTTTGTTTCTAGAGATGTTATATTCCATGAAGAATTTTTTCCTTTAAATTCTGATTGTTCTGATAAGTCATTTTTACCTGTTGCCTCTCTTCCCAAACCAGGTAGCCCTATACGTGATCCCACCATCTCTGTCTCCCCTTCTATTAGCCAACACAGTCATATTACTCCTTCTACCGCTAATCTCCATTCTCCTAGTAAAATGCCTGTTCAAAGTCCAGTTTTCTCTCACAATCTTTCCCCTATATCTAGTTCACATTCCAGTCCATCCATTCCCCTGTTTTCTTCCCTAGGATCTGAGCCTATGATAGACACTCTTATCAGGAGATCTTCAAGACCCCACATAGCACCAACCTACCTCAAAGACTATATTTGCAATGTCATCCAACTCACAGATGTAAGTAGTACTTGCTTTCTAGCCCTAGTCACACCTAAGTCTATCTCTTTTAATGAATTGTGTTGTTCTAATCAACATATGCTCAACATTCTATCAAATATCCAAGAACCTATTAATTATGCTCATGCTACACATCACCTGGGATGGTAGGCTGCCATGGACAAGGAAATTGAAGCACTTGAGCTTAATAAAACATGGGATGTGGTAACATTGCTAGCGGGGAGGAAGGCTTTACCGTGCAAATGGGTTTACAAGGTTAAGCAACTATCAGATGGAAGTATAGAAAGACTGAAAGCAAGGTTGGTCATCAGGTGTGATATTTAGAAAGAAGGAATAGATTACAATAAAACCTTTTCCCCCGTAGTCAAAATGACCACCATCATATGCATTTTAGCTACAGCAGTAAAGAAAGGATAGGGACTCTACCAATTAGATGTCAATAATGCCTTTTTACATGGCGACCTGAGTGAGGAAGTATACATGAAGTTCCCACCTGGGATTATGCCTCATTCTCCTAATCATGTCTGTAAATTGAGGAAATCACTCTATAGACTTCGTTAGGCTTCGAGACAATGGTATGCAAGACTCACCAGTGCTCTTAATTTCAAGGGGTTCACTCATTCTCTAAATGATTATTCCATATTCTTCAAAAAGATAGAATCTTCTATACCTATAGTGGCAGTGTATGTGGACGACATCTTATTAACAGGAAATAACAATGAAGAGTTACATGCTTTAAAAGCTTTTCTCAACCAGGAATTTAAAATTAAGGATCTTGGCAACTTACATTTCTTCCTAGGCATGGAAGTAATTCGTGAACCTCGAGGTCTGATTCTTTCTCAAAGGAAATTCACATTGGATCTTCTACATGAATTTCATGTCCTAAATTCTTCACCTGTTTCCTCTCCTCTTGACCCAACTATACGGTTGCTTGCACATTCTGGGGAGCCTTTGAATGATCGTACTCTATATCGTTATCTCCTTGGCAAGTTGAACTATCTCATACACACTCGACCTGATTTGTCATTCACCGTCCAACATCTCACCCAATATATGCAGGACCCAAGGAAACCACATCTTGAAGCAGGTATTTGAGTCCTCCGATATCTTTTAAATGGCCCAGGTCTTGGGCTTTTTATGTCGCATTCATCTTCATTTCAGCTCTTAGCCTTTTGCGATTCTGATTGGGGGACTTGTCCGGACTCGAGAAAATCAGTTAGTGGTTTTTACATTTCCCTCGGTTCTTCTCCCATCTCATGGAAATCAAAAAAACAGACCTCTATCTCTCTTAGCTCTATCGAAGTAGAGTATCGCTCTATGAGGCGTGTAGTCGTTGAACTAACTTGGTTGGTTCGTCTATTTGATGATCTATCTATACCCATCTCATTACCAGTGCCTATTCATTCCGATATCCAAGCCGCAATTCACATCGCAAAGAACCCCGTCTTCCACGAACGGACCAAGCATGTCGAAATTGACTGTCATTTTGCGCGACAACAATTCCTTGCCGGCTTGATTTCACTCTCTTTTGTCCGATCCTCTTCTCAGCTTGCAGATCTCTTTACCAAATCATTCCCAGGTCCTACTCATCTTGATTTATTGTGCAAGTTGGGGGTACTTTCATCCGCTCCAACTTGAGGGGGGTGTTGGTGTAGATGATAATGCTTATGAAAGAAAGGAAGAAAGCTATTGTCTTTCCCATGGTGATATGCACGAAGCAAGAAGAAGACACTCATGTGGCTAGGTTGTGTCCGAAAGAATTGGTCAGGCTTAAGTTTATTAGAGAATTGGGCCTTGCATTTTGGGTCACTAGTTTTGGGCAGCTAGACCGATACAAATTATACAGCTGAAGGCCTACACTTCTAGAAGCATGCAAATACAGCATAGATACACCCTGTAATTAGAATTCTTTATCCAAATATATTTATCCAATAAATCGTTATACAGTAGCATATAAAATAGTGCCACTTGACATAATTTGTTATAGGGTAGATTCCTTTTCTCTTGTATAAATATGGATACTGTACAGAATGTTACAACACAATCAATATACAAAGAAAATTTTCACAAAGTTTCTTCAATTCTGTCATATGTTTAGTTCTTCAATACTTGATAACTTGAACACGTACTTTTGATGGATTATAACCTTCGGGTGAATGCTTGACATTTTAACACGTTATACACACTTTTGGTGTTGCTTTCTTTTATGACAAGAGAGGTTGCTCTAATGGTAAGCAACCTCCACTTCCAATCAAGAGGTTGTGAGTTCGAGTCTTCCCAAGAGCAAGGTGAGAAGTTCTCACTATCCTCCCCAGATCCCACTAAGTGGTATTATACTGGGTTGGTGTTGTTTTCTTTTATATAGGACATCTCAAGTTTTCTATACTCAGTTTTTATATAATTTTTTCTTGATGAGATCACTAGATAACCTAATAAATAATTTGCTATTATATGTTAAATTTTACTATTATTGTAAACAAAAAACTACACAATTAATGAATATAACTTAAATTCAAATTATATTTGTACAGACATGAGAGAATCGTAGTAACTATAGGCTAGTTAGCCGGGTGAGCCTTACCCTTGTGGAATTCATGGACCGTAACGAGCTCTCCAACATGATACTAGTATTTTAGAGTGAAATAATTTTTCTTGTGGCCACAATCTTTTAACAATTTTTGAAAGCTTTTTATTATTAAAATTCAAATTATAATAGATCTTTGTGTATTTAAATATAAAATTTAAAAATATAAAAGAATTGGATGTCAAAAAAATCCGAAAATTAGATACATTGATTACTATATTCTGAATAATATTATATCTTAACGAAAGGGACTATTTCACAAAATGAAGCATCTTTCCAAACAAATAGTATTATAGTACTACATTTTTCCTTTCCCTATTTGTCTACATAATCACCACCAAACTAAAAGTTACTTCACCAACCTTCCAATTCCCCTCCTAATAAAATGGATCCAAAATCTAAATTTAACGAGTTAGATATTTCAAACTCATCTTATTTTTAAATTATGAGTTCGAATTTAATAAATTTCTTGAAGAAAAAAAAATACTGAATTCCAAGTTATTAGCTTAGAGCTACATGTGTGCCTCAGATAATTACTTGCAAGCAACAAGCAGCAACCTCTTTTCTTGAACGCAACAAACCAACTTTCCCATTTCAAAAAGACAAAAACTTAATCCCAAATATCCTTTCTCCAACATCAAAAATTCAAAACCATATTCATATTGGAAAAGGAGAAAAGGATGACGGGAGACATGCAAAACCAGTCTTACCTCCTATTGAGTATTTGATTACAATATATCTATTCTAAATTCATTAAATACTTGTCCCTTCTTCGCTTTAAAAATATTAGGTTCAATAAAATTCATTGCTAAAGGCCAGAACAGCTTATGTGCCTTACAGTTAGCTGCAGAGGGTATTCTTGAATATTACTACTCCTATTATTTTAGTAATAATAATATATTCAATCGTGCCTATCCATACTTCCTTAGCTGATACATTCATACGTCAGTTTTAACCATAGAGAACCATATCGTTATCTGATCCAAACTTCTGACTTTTTCTATTTTCCGAATCCCTATGTTTCTACTAATATCCATCTCTGCCATTGCAGTGATATATTAATTTTAGTGTTTGTTTTCACCTTCTTGATTTATTGTCCCCTCTCTGTTTTCCATATATTGAAGGAAAAAACATTAACTTTATGAAAATTTGTTGTTTTGCTGGTTGATTCCTACAACCCCTTTTGACATTGATTTTGTGGGATCCAAAAAAATTGAATCTTGATGTAAAAATTTGATCTTTCTATTTCTTTTTACATGGAAATTTGATTTCTGGGGGTATTAAGGATTCTTTTGTCGGTTGATTTGGTGCTTTTTTGCCAAGTTCTTGTCGGTCTCTGAGCTGATTTTTCATAATTTCACAAAAAGAGAAAGGCTAAAACAGAAAGGTTTGGAGTTTCTTTCTTTGACTTTCAGAAATTGAGGTATTTTCTTTGATCTAATTCTTGTTAATATCTGGTTCAATCTGATTCCCTTGAATCCTGTGAATAAACTTTGTTTCCCTATTGTCACAAAATTATATCCTTTTCACTTTCCTTGACTCTCAGAAGTTAGTACAATCTTTGTTCTGCTAAATCTTGTGAATAACCTTTAGCTTAGAGTTTTAGGTATGTGTATATTGGGTTCTCTTAACATTTAGCCGAGAAACCTTCTCTAGGATTAGTCCCCCTTTTCATTGAGATGGATATAAGTAATGAGGCTACTATTGACTTCTTTTCAATTGGACCTACTACGATATTGGGTCGAACAATCGCCTTTAGAGTGTTGTTCTGCAAATCAATTTCACAGTTGAGGCATCACCTGTTTCATTTCTTGATATATTACTTGTACAAGTTCAAGAATGGTTTGTCATACTACTTGACACCCTTAATTTCGTGGTTGCACCCTCGTAATCCACAAGGGATATTGGCATTGGTGACGCTTCTCGCCTTCTTGTTGAGGCGATACACGAATGTAAAAATCAAGGCTGAGATGGCCTATAGGAGGAAGTTTTGGAGGAATATGATGAGATCTGCATTGACTTATGAGGAGTGGGCTCATGCTGCCAAGATGCTAGATAAAGAGACCCCTAAAATGAATGAGGCAGATCTTTATGATGTAGAATTAGTTCGAAATAAACTCCAAGAGCTTCGACATCGTAGGCAAGAGGGTTCTCTGAGGGATATCATATTCTGTATGAGAGCTGACCTTGTTAGGAATCTTGGTAATATGTGCAATCCAGAACTTCACAAGGGAAGGCTTCATGTGCCTAGACTGATTAAGGATTATATTGATGAGGTTTCAACTCAGTTGAGAATGGTATGCGACTCTGATTCGGAGGAGCTTCTCTTGGAAGAGAAACTTGCTTTCATGCATGAAACAAGACATGCCTTTGGTAGGACAGCTTTGCTTTTAAGTGGAGGTGCTTCTTTAGGAGCTTTCCATGTGGGCGTGGTGAAAACACTTGTAGAACACAAGCTGATGCCACGGATAATTGCTGGTTCAAGTGTCGGCTCGATTATGTGCTCCATAGTTGCAACTCGATCTTGGCCTGAGCTCCAGAGTTTTTTCGAGGACTCCTGGCACTCTTTGCAATTTTTCGATCAGTTGGGTGGGATTTTTACTATTTTCAAGAGGGTCATGACCCAGGGTGCTGTACATGAAATCAGACAGCTGCAGGTGCTGTTACGTAATCTCACGAATAATCTTACTTTCCAAGAAGCCTATGACATGACTGGTAGAGTTCTGGGGATTACTGTTTGCTCGCCTAGGAAACATGAACCTCCTAGATGCTTGAACTACTTGACTTCACCTCATGTTGTTATATGGAGTGCTGTTACCGCTTCTTGTGCCTTTCCTGGTCTCTTCGAAGCTCAAGAACTTATGGCAAAGGATAGAAGTGGAGATCTTGTTCCATATCACCCACCATTTCATTTGGGTCCTGATGCCACTTCTAGTGCATCTTCTCGTCGTTGGAGGGATGGTAGCTTGGAGGTTGATTTGCCAATGATGCAGCTAAAGGAGCTCTTCAATGTCAATCACTTCATTGTGAGCCAGGCGAATCCGCACATCGCTCCACTGCTGAGGATCAAAGAGTTTGTAAGAGCTTATGGAGGCAACTTTGCTGCCAAGGTATGGACTTTTGTTTTCTTTGATATGATCTTGATCTCTTTGCTTTCAGTTGATGTTGATGCTTCCTCTAAGTCTTGTACATGTATTTGTGTCACTGCAACAAAATTTTAGAGCACTTTAAAATGCTTCCGGTCGTTGTTATATCTTGAGTTAGTTTTAACTAGTACTAATCTATTCTGTAAATATAGGTAGGGGCGGTATAGCTCAGGCCTAACTTCAGTAAGCCTTATTCTGTCATTTTTTCAATAAGGAGTTAGACTTCAAGCGTATGCTGATAAGGAGCTAGTCTTATTCCCTCATTAAGCTTCTTCAAGCATCTTCACTTGTTTGAACATTTGAACTAGGCTCTTTAGTTCAACCGAAGTTGCTAAAGGGACTAACTTGAAGGAATCGTATGCTGAATAATTTCTGTAGTTGTCACATACATCGCCGAGTAGCACTATGGGCACCTATGTGATTTTCTCCTTTATAGAGATATTGAATAGGCTTCGTATAAGTCATAGCGGTCAGTTTTCTAAGCAAGAATCTTTTTGATAGAAAATTCATTTAGCAGTTTGCAGCTCATAGTGGTTTTGAAAATATAATCAAGCAGGATTCATCTGTTGATGCTCTTTACTATATTTTAGGTGCTAGAGTAACGGAGTTAGTCTGTGAACCTATATATATAGCCTTTTTAAATGTACCCAACGTAATTGCCGGTGTTCCATGGACTCAGTTTCAGTTCTACGATTTAGAGTTTAGACACATCAAATGCTTAGGCTCTATAGATCTCGTTGGTGGTTGTAACTAAGAATTGCTAGTTCATAACTTACCCTTGCATGCTCCTAGTTTTGCTGCTATGTTTTTGTGGAGACAAAAGACTTAAGCAGAGACATTGTAACATCAAGTATTTGGCCATGCAGCTTGCTCAACTTACGGAAATGGAGGTGAAGCATAGATGCAATCAGGTATTAGAACTTGGTTTTCCCTTGGGAGGATTGGCAAAGCTTTTTGCTCAAGAATGGGAGGGTGACGTAACAGTTGTAATGCCTGCCACTCTAGCTCAGGTATATCCACTATGAGCAATTTCTCTTTTTGCAAATAAGAAAAAAAGTTCTGTTTCGATGGCTATAAATGTGAATATGAAGCCCATTGAACTTACAGAGTAACAAATACTTCAATTCGTGTTGTTGATGCGTTTTGTGATTGCTATGCTGTTGAATGGAATAGGAAATAATTGCCTTGATGGAACTGAAAACACTGTAGTAAAAATGCTAAGTCCTGGGTGAATTTGATTCTGTCTAAAAGTTGCTTTCCGTTCCCAATTTGTGGAAATCTAGATGAGAATTGTCAAATCATGTTAAGTTCATAAGAATATTTTTGTCTTTTTCAAAATAAGTTCTACTATGAAGAACTGTAGGTTGGCTTGACATCTAACCTTTTCGCCAAATTTTGTTTGTGATACAGTACTCAAAAATCATACAGAATCCCTCTACTCTGGAGCTGCAAAAGGCAGCAAATCAAGGAAGAAGGTGCACTTGGGAAAAACTCTCAGCCATGAAAGCAAACTGTGGAATTGAGCTTGCACTTGATGAATGTGTTGCTATACTGAACCACATGCGTAGACTGAAAAGGAGTGCTGAGAGAGCGGCTGCTGCTTCACATGGCTTGGCAAGCACTGTCAGATTTAACGCTTCCAGAAGAATTCCTTCTTGGAACTGCATTGCACGAGAGAATTCAACAGGCTCCCTTGAAGATTTTCTTGCGGATGTTGCTGCTTCACATCATCAAGGAGGCAGTGGTTCGGGGGCGCATGTTAACCGTAATTGGCGAACACACCGGAATGCACATGATGGTAGTGACAGTGAGCCGGAAAATGTGGACCTTAATTCTTGGACAAGATCGGGTGGTCCTTTGATGAGGACAACATCAGCTGATAAGTTTATTGACTTTGTCCAGAACTTGGAAATTGGTTCGCGATTGAACAAAGGATTGACTATTGACCTCAACAATATTGTTCCTCAGATGGCAGGCAGGGACCATTTCTCCCCGAGCCCAAGGGTAACAACACCTGATAGAAGTTCAGATACAGAATTTGATCAAAGAGATTTTAGTTATAAGGTCCCTGCGAGTAGTTCAAGCATTATGGTAGGTGAAGGTGACCTTCTGCAGCCTGAAAGGACTAACAGCGGTATTGTCTTCAATGTGGTAAGGAAAGGAGACTTGACCCCATCGAACAGAAGCCTTGATTCAGAAAATAATAGTTCCGTGCAGGACGCAGTTGCTGAGTGCGTGCAACTTGAAAGTCCAGAAAAGGAGATGGATATTAGCTCAGTATCCGAGGATGGTGAGAATGATGTTGGGCAAGGAAGTAGGGTCAATGAAGTTGATTGTAGTGAAAATCGTTCATCAATCGGTGATGGCAACGATAAGCAAGTTATTGATACTTGAGAGTTTAGCTTTGATTATTCTACACAGGCCATTCAAATTCTTTTTTATACTCAATGGAGCTTCTTTCAGAGCTAACACACTCAGAATTGGGGTTGTAAGTAGTGCAAGTAGCAAATCTGTAATAATTGTTTAGTGTAAGTCATCACCCTTCTGCTAGTTCAAAGTGGCTCAGTTCAATTCTAATTCAGAACTTCGATAATTCATGTTATTTTTGCCTCCTTCCCTGTCTTCTTTGATTGTAGTATTGATCTCATGGTTTGCCTGTTCACTTATAAGTATTAGGCAGGAGGGAAGAAAAAAGAGAGATGACTTGACTTTTATTTGTTTATAGATATGCTATACATATAAACTACAAAATTGAGAATCTAACAAGAAGTCTGTGTTTCCCCCGAAAACAATTCTAAAACAATTGGAAAAGTACTTCTGCAATTTTTTCTGCGGACAAACTGAAGACAAAAAGAAATATCACGGATCTCTGGGAGGAAATTATGTTATCCTACGGAGTAAGGAGGTGCAGGTTTTAAAAGACTAGAAGATATATGCAAAGCTTTTAGTGCTAAAAGATGGTGGAGGTTTAGAGGAGATGATAACTAATGGTCACTCTTCCTAAAAGCAAAATATTATCAAAGAAGCCACCCTATGACAAGGATAGTACAATCAGAACATTCTGAGAGATCTTACTATGATAAGAAATAGTGTGGAATCACAGATACTATGGAAAATAAATGAAGCCAAAATATCCTTTTGGATGGATAATTGGACTGGTGAGGGACCATTGGCAACTCGTATGAACTTTGAAGGCAGATCAGGAAATCTAATGGTTGAAGATTGTATTATCAATAATAACTGGGACATGGATTTTAGTAACAACATAGTGCCAAATTACTTGGCACAGGTCATATTTAAAACCCCCATCGGAGATAGAAACATAAAGGATCAACAAGTATGACACCTTACCACTTCAAGAGCTTTCTCATGTAGTTCCGCTTAATATCTTCTTTGACAAAAAAAAAATGAAAAGTTGCAACTATGGAAAAAGTTGGAGAAAAGACATCCCTTTCAAGATGCCTTTTGTGTTATGAAAGCTGGTTAAAAGAAAAGTTTCTCTTGATGAAATTATTAGGGATTTTGGACAAGTTATTGTACCAAATTGTAGCTGTTGCAATCAACCCGAGGATGAAACTATTAAACATGTCTTTATCACTAGTGATATAGCTACTAATATATGGAATTTTTTTGCAGGTCATATGGGTGTCCATATGGGAGGTCGGAATGTAATCTCTATGATGCATACCTGGAATGGCACAAAGTGTAGGAATTCCCAACAGAGGCTGCTAGTTCAATCAGTCCCAATATTCATCTTCTGGGAATTATGGAAAACAAGATGCTCTGCCAGAAAAGAATAATATCTACATCTAGAATAATCAGCGAAGTTCTATTCCATACGAAAATTCTAATGAAGAAGAGAGGAATTGTCTTTGACTTTTCATGGGACTGGCAAAAGATTTGCAAGGAGATGGAGGTTATCACTGTTAATCTTATTTGTAGAATTGTAAATTGGAACAAACCTCCTAATTTTTGGTTGAGGATAAATAGTGATGGTAGCAACAATGGCACAAACAAGACATCAGGATTAAGAGGAGTTGTTAGGAATAGACATGGAGAGCTAATTCAGGCATTTGCTAAAGCTCTAATGTTCTGCACTAACAACTGTGCCGAAGTTGAAGCAGCTTCCTTTGGTGTAAATTGATGTATACTTATGAACAAGGAACATGTTATCCTAGAATTAAGTTCACAATTTCTGGTGTATATGTTACTAGGAAAGATCAGTATTCCATATATTCTTGAATATGCAGTCCAATTAATGAAAAAAGATATAATGAAGTAGAATATCAGGATTCAATATTGTTATAGAGAAACTAACCAAGTAGCTGATATGTTAGCTAAACATGGTGCAGCTTTAAGAACAATTCAACTCCCCAGATATCTATTACAAGAAGGAGGATATGCCAGCAGAGGCCAGAGGTCCATACACTTTAGACAAAGCAATCTTTAAAAATCAGGAAAGCTAAACATAGTTCCATATATATTTCCTCTTGCTTCTTAATGTATATGATGTTACAGTATAACGGGACGATCTTTTCCCATACTAATTTTTTGATACATAATGTAACCCTAGCTGTAGTATTAACACCCGGACCAAAATTTCTTGGCTGCTACTGGTACAGGGACAATGGTGCAGTCTTTTTCTGAGATTTGAGGAGGTAAGGTCTCATATCCCCTCCTTCATATGTTTAATTTTTGGATATAAATATATGAGGTAGGGGTCAATGCCAAACCCTCTAGCACCTACAGATCAATATAGCCTGAGGTGAAACTGGCTTCAATAATAAAAAAGAAAAAAAAATAGTTAAGGTCAGTATCTCTGGAGTTTTATATGGAAAAATTGATGAGTTAAGAGAATGGTCAATATTGATATGAATCTGTTGCTTTGTTACCAACTCTCGTTTCCTTTCTTCTTTAATTTTATTTTGGTACTACGTATGCTAGATTTTTGCGGACATTGGAGCTGGATCTGGTGGCTGTGTCTTGGAGAAAATGTTGCCATGGTTGTGTATGTTCGACTGGACACAGCACGTTTAATATTTTGAGTTGTATGAATATGCTGATCAATATATAATCTGAGGAAAATCAGTCTTGTACCCAAGGGCGGCCCGACTAATTTTGTGGTCTAAAACTAAACTTTATGAGGGGCCTTAATAGTTTAATTTTTTTTATTATTTATTTGAAGTCTATTTTTTTTTAGCTTTTTATCTAAAATCACAAGGTAGGGGTAAAGTCCGTATACACACTATCCTCGGCAGACCCCATGGTATGGGATAATACTGGGTATATTGTTGTATTTTTTTAACTTTTCTTAGATACAAAGTTATTGATAATTTTCTTATAATCGATAACTCCTAATAAATTTTTCTCAATTGACAATATAGCTAATCCATTTAATCTTTCTTGTGAGTTGTGACATTGTTGTTCTTAGGTAAGATTTTATCAATTTTAATTCTGAAAACTTCTTTTCGTTAAAGCAACGGTAACATGAGTTATGAACATTATTTGATGTTAGGCTAGAAACCCGTGTTTTAGCCGTAGTATTACATGCCAATGACTGCATTTTTTACGTGCGTTTGAGTTCAAATGATAGTGAATTGCACTTAGTACGTATTTTATGCCTTGCAGGAAGTGATCCTGAGCTCAAAAGTTAATTTGGAGCTAAATTGATCAATTTGGAGCTTTGAAGTCTGAGTAAAAGCCCAATACACTAAGCTGAGATCATGTTCGGAGGTCGTGTACCAAGTCCGGATGTTAAAAGAGGACGAAATAAGTTCACTCTGAGAAAATTACACTGCCGAGCCGCATGGAGCGCCGCAAGGCGCGGCGCAGCAGTGTAAAATGCTGCCTGATGCGAAAAGTTGAGGCTGCTGATAAAATGCACTAACGCGCCACATGGTGCGGTGCAGCCTGCGGCGCGGCTGTTCAACTTTTACAGAGCGAAGTCTTAGTTCGCACAGGAAAGGGTTTTTTCGTCTACGCCCGACCCTACTTGGTATAAATACATGTAAAAACGCTATTTTGAGAGGTTAGACATACTTTTGACATATTTTAGACCTAAGGAGGAGGTTGGACAGATTTGAGACACAGATTGGACCTAAGGAGGCAGAGACACAATAGGAGCAAGGCGTGGAATTCTTCTACGAGTTTTTCCTTCCTCTTCCTATTTTTCATTGTTGGTTATGACTTTTAGTATTGTAGTTTTACATACTATTATGAATAGCTAATTTGTTATCTAAGGTTTTGATGGAACCTTTTATAGGATAAATTCTTGTTATGTTTTTATATAATTGAGCCGTAGTATAATCTCTATTTGTTCAACTACGTTCTTGTTGTAGTTAATTGATAGGATCCTCAATTAGTTGTGCCTATTTAGTATGTATTACTCGGAAGAGAGTGCATATTTAGGTAGTTGTTGAACAACATCACTCCCGACGTATGTGAGGAATCAATAACCAAGGGTTTAAAGGTGGGATTAGGGATAACGAAACCTTGGGTGCGATCTAAGTGGGTTGTAATTAAAGCCAGCTAGCGTAACTCGGGAGAGTATGTCTAGTAAATTGTCGTAATTAATCGGAAAGAGAATTACAACACGCAGAGTGCTCATGATCGGTAAAGAATACTTAGGCAAAATTATAAAAGACATAGCGGGAAGAATTCCGACAATTGGAAAAATCATAACTCTAGACCTCCTTAATCTTTTCTCTAACCCTTAGTATCTTTAGTTGTTAATTTACTATTTTAATTTGTTAGTTAATTAGTTAAACACAAAAATCTAAATATCTATAAGTTAGGAATTGTTCAAGCTTGTCTCTTGGTAATAGTGAACAATTGTAGTTAAACCTTAGTTCTCTGTGGGATTCGACTCCGGACTTGTAAACCGGATTATATTTGCAACGACCGCTTAGTCCTTTTTATAAGGCATAATTGGGCGTAATCAAATTTTAGCGCCATTGCCGGGGAACTAACGGTGTAGTTGTAGGTGAACATATTGCTAGGTTTCAAGTTTGAACTTTTATTTTATTTTTTAGTATTTGATTTTTTTAATTTTTTTTATTTTAATTTTATTTGAGAAACATGGCATCATGGAATTATGGGAATTTTGATGTTGGTAATTCTCTTTTTAATCCTCCTTATGCATATTGTGAAGGAAACCTCCCAGGGCAAAATTATCAAAATATTCCCAAGAACGAGTTTTGTGCACCAACTCAATCTTATGCGCGGAATGTGTGTGATATGTGTGGTGGTCAAGATGGTCACTTTCACGGTTGTGCTTATATTTCTTACCTTCCCCCAACCCCTTACTTTGATGGTTCTTCTTTTTCTGGTGAAGTTAATAGGAACAAAGAACCCAAGGAAGCTGACCTAAAGAAGATCGAAGATATGTTAAAGTGCATTTTGGAATAACATAGTAAATTACAACTGCAGATAGAAAGGCAGGAGGAAACTATTCACAACTTGAACGTTCACATGAGTCAACTGGTTGAAGATTTTAATGCTCAACAAGTCAATATTGTGAATAGTATCCAAGAAGAGCGTGAATTAGATACAATAATTGAGGATCTAGAGGAGAAGACCAGAGTAAAACACCAACAATCAATCGAACTAGATTTTGA